GGCTGTGGGGAGTCAGGACGGAAACTTGAGAAAATGAAGTTGACACTGAAGAAAGCCGCTGGCGGGAGAACAAATGCAACCACCGAACCATCAAGTTACAAGGCAAAGCCTCCGCCCTCCTGAGGGGCTGGACGCAGGGAAGCCCCTGAGCAGATGGACAGCAGGACACCGGGACTCGGCACCCCTTTCCACCCAGAGGTTAGACCAGGGGGTGGGCAAACTTTTTGACTCGAGGGCCACAATGGGTTCTTAAACTGGACTGGAGGGCCCGGAACAAAAGCATGGATGGAGTGTTTGTGTGAACTAATATAAATTCAAAGTAAACATCATTACATAAAAGGGTACGGTCTTTTTTTTTTTTTTTAGTTTTATTCATTTCAAACGGGCCGGATCCGGCCCGCGGGCTGTAGTTTGCCCACGGCTGGTCTAGACTCTGAATTATTTTCTAGCCAGAACCCAAGTACTGAGGTTGCAAAAGCCAGGTTTGGTTTGACCCCACCAGTCAGACACCTGGTGCTGGTTCCTGCCGCCTACCACAAGGCTACCCACTCATCACCCCGCCTTCCCCAGAGGGGGAGAAGATACAATTTACCAACATCAGAAATGAAAGGAACATCACTAATGTTCACATGAATTAAAAGTATAATAAAGAAATTCATGCACTTTGAAAGGAACTGTGGGCCACGAGGCTGCGGTAGGCACAGGGGCGGGTCTTGGTCCATCCTCCGCACCCCCACCCTGTCCCTCCCATCACCCCCCCCCCCATGTCTGCTGGCAGCCCCGTTCCTGCCGCCACCGCTCCACGCGCTAACACCGGCCCCACTCACACCTGCTGAAGGCATGGAGCAGGGGGAGGTGGAGAAGCTCTCAGAGGCGACCAGGGCGGGCAGCCAAAACTTACACCTGCTGATGGCACCGAGTGCTTTGGACTGGCGCCGGGCACCCGCAGTGGGTGCAAGCGGCGGCTCTGGCGCTGGCTGTGGGTGCAAGTGGGGCCGGCACCAGCAGCAGGTGCAAGCGCTGGCCAGGACCACAGTACACAGGAGCAAAGAATTTTCAGTAACCACCAGAGGCTCGCCCCGATGACAGTGACGGGTGCCCTGCCTTGGTCTGGTGCTCCCACTCACCTGCTCCACCATCCCACCACGGCCAACACCTGCCATGTTCCGCACACGCCCCCTGGTGGTCAGCACACATCATAGCAACCGGTTGTTCAGTTGTTCCGCCGTTCAGTCTATTTGCATATTAGCCTTTTATTATATAGGATGTTAATCATGCTCTGTTAACCATGATTGCCTTGTGTTGGTTAAAGAAAGAACATTTTTACCTGGCTGGGAGTTGTATGCCCCCAGGACCTTGGGGAGTCGACTTTGGAACCATTCTCATTCAAGAACTGCCTATTATCATGGAAAGGTTAACAACCTCGGTGCCCAAACAATAGAGTCCCACCCCAGTCTCTTACTTCCCCAGGCCTGTAATCCCTACTTCCCCATGTAATCCCTGTCTATCCTATACAAGCAGCTGGCTTATGGGAGGTGCAGAGCAGATTTTCGTGGATGACCTGCTGCTCTCCCATACTGCCAGCCGGATTGGAATAAATGCTCATATATGATACAACCCTGTCTCTGCTTAATTGGCTCAAGTAGTGACAGGCAGCAAGGACCCATTGATTGTCTGGTTACAGAAACAGTTCTATGCCTACAAGTATAACTTAAGATGAAATGAACCAACTCCTTGAAACTACCAAAACTCACACAAAAACCTGCACACAAATATTTATAGCAGCTTTACTCATAATTGCCAAGACTTGGGAGCAATCAAGATGTTCCTCAAAAGGTGAATGGATGGCCCTAGCTGGTTTGCTCAGTGGTTAGAGTGTTGGCCCTCAGACTGAAGGGCAGTGGGTTCGATTCCTGATTAAGGGCACATACCTGGGTTGTAGGTTTGGCCTGGTCAGGGCACTTGCTGGAGGCAACCAATCCATGTGTCTCTCTCACATTGATGTTTCTCTCTCTCCCCCCTCTTCACTCTCTCTAAAAATCAATAGAAAAATATCCTCGAGTGAGGATTAACAACAAAAAAACAAAAACAAAAAACAACAAATGAACAAACATAGATCTAGACAGAAGGAAAAGAGGTGGGAGGAAGAAAAGAGTAAAGGGAGTCAAATATATGGCTACAGGAGACTAGACCTTGGGTGGTTAGCACACAGTACTATATACAGATGATGTATTATAGAATTGTACATCTGAAACTTATATAATCTTATTAACCAATGTTACCCTAATAACTTTAATTTTTAAAAATGAGACACAGTAAAATTCATGAGGGGAATGCGGAAGATGGCTGTGTACGGGAAGGCAGGCTGCAAGATAGTGTGTGAGTGAGAGAAGGAAAGGAGTGTGGACGTGCGGGGTGTGTCTATTTGTGAGTGAGAGACAGCTATATTCCCAGGAACTGTTGGGGACAGCTGGACCAGGCTCCCCTGACCGGACAGCCTCTACTGCTGCTGAAACCTCTCCCAGAGCGACTGGCTCTGCCGCAGAGGCTGCGCCATCTTGAAGGGGAGAGTGGCTGTGATGGGAAGCCCAGCCTTACCTTCAACCGGGAAGAACTCGGATACCTCCCGGGACCCTATAACCACCCAGGGACCAGCTGCAAACCCACAAACACTGGGTCTCAAGCAGCGCGGAGCGGAGGAGCACTGCACCTTCTCATGGAAAGGTCAGACTTCACCTAGACTAGAGAAAGGTGAGATCTGCGATCCAGGCTGGAGGGAGAAACACGCACAGCGGGATCGAGAGGTTCAGAGGAAGTCTGTGCCCCACAAAATCCGCGGCCATTGGGGTCAGCGTAATCCATGAATGTGGAAGGGGGTCCACGGGGCTGCTGGCAGAAGGGAATCTAGAAATCAACCCATTGCTGGGATGGGCACAGAAAGGAAGCCTGAAGCTCTACTAGTATACCAGCTGCGCTGTGCCAGGGGAAAAAGACGTGTGCAGAGACGTGCACAGAATTGCACGCAGTGTGTGTGTGGGGGGCGGGGGGGGGGGGAGGAGCGGAGAAGTCACGAGTCCACGCGCTTACTCTGGCTCTTTTTTCCCTTTAAATCCTTGCTTTTGATTACTAGGCCCAGTACATATGATCTCCCAATTAAAAACATTCTCAGAGACTGCAGGAGAAAGTTGTTTTTGTGGAACCTGGAAATCACAGTGGGGAGAAACGATCAGAAAACCAGCTAGCTCTGGGGCAGTCCATTCCCCCAACCTAGTATTAAGTGCAGCAGGGAAAACAAAATCTAAATACTGAGCAGAGAGGACTTATAGCCCCAGATGTCAATACAGTAACACTGCCACCCAGG